CGAGCCGAGTAGTATGTCCGAATTCATAGAATTCGAAAATCAGTATGCGAGAAGTACCCAGATGACTTACTACTAACGGCGAGATTCTAGAGAGCGCATCCCATGCATGCTGTGCTATCCCATGATGCCCCTCGAGCGAATTCATGAATGTGAGTAAAGCGGCGCAATTGACGCAGGCAGGTCACGTGACCATGACAAAATGGCGGATGTAGTACGTCCGAATTCCATTCATACTTTTCACGTTCCTACTGTATAGAACGTACTTTCTAACGGCCGAATAGTACGTTTAAATTCAAATGCAGTACCTACTGAGTAGTAGGCGGTTTCGGACGCAACCAGTGTGTTTAATGACAGTGGAATGTTTGATACTGCACGTCGTATAGGAGAAAAAAACCTCTGCATTTCTCAGTAACTCAGATGCACTCGGTAGGTCAGAAAGCCGTGTGTGTAGACTATCTTGTCACAAAATGCGGCGAAAATTAAACATGACGCTCGGCAATAGTTTGCTTGCAGTATTCACGTGTTTACTGTGTTTAGTACTGCTGACTATACAAACTATAACTTTGCCATCTGAATGAACAAAGAAAGGGCACTGATCGCACACACTTATCAAATCTGTAGACAGGGCAATCAACACATACTGGAGCTGCGTCTTTTTTTAAAGGAGACGAGCAGCAAATCTGGAATTCACCATTTCCAGATGAGAAAAGCTCTCGAGTAAAAAATGTTCCAAACAAACGTATTTCTGCCCCGTGTAACGTGCACTGATCCACACGTGAGTCCAGCTGTGCTCTCATAGCGGGAAAATGAAAACAAAACCTTCACTGCAGCACATTATAAAAGCAACTCTGATGACCTGTATCTCCAAACAATTCTTACGCCCCATTCAGATGGGGCGTCACCGCTTCCCATTTAATTTGAATGGGTGATGTCAAGCGTTGCCGAACTGCATTGTGGATCCATCGGCGCAGCTTCAGAAGCGTTGCTCGCTGCAGAAGTTGGGACTAGCTCAACTTTTCAATCAGCTCATTCAGATCGCTGTATGCAAATACACCAGTTAGACAGTGGCCTATTGCTGACTGAAATTCATTGGCTGACGCTTCTATGACGATCCCTACAGCCCCAACTTCGGACACGCCTTCAGTCAAGCGTTGACACTGAAGCCCCTTGTGAATGGGGCGTTATTCTTTTCCCACTTCTTTTGTCACCACGTGTCGTCTCTCTGTTCTGAACACTGTTTCAGGTACAGTCTTCAAAGCTAGCATGCATATTAATGAAGTTGCATGCATACACAATAGAGCGCGCTGATTGGTTTGAACCAAGCCATACTCATGAATGAATGCAGCACACTCAGAGACGTAATAAGGCATTCCCAGGTACAGACGTCTAGTCTAGTTACTGGAATACACGCTAAGATCTCATGGCCGTGACACAGCTTCAAAAATTTGTTTCAAACCGGAAGTACGAGTGTGCTCGAAATAACGCAAAAACAACCAATTGTCACTTTTTAGTGAAATATATGTGTCCTAATAGTGTTTTTAGCAGTGTGGGACACATATATGACTGTCAACAGCTCAGAACATGTGTTTTGGTGTTTTGTGACCCTTTAAAACGTGAAGCCATCTTGCCTCAATTTTAATAGCTTAACAGGTTTCTAAAATTAAGCCTAATAACTGTACTGGTTTACTTTAAAAAAAAAAAAGTGAAATTTAATTCTTGATTTTATTAGCGAAATCTTCTCAATATTGAATAATAAATCCAGAATATCAATTTATTAAAGAAAATATGCACATTATTTTTAATGACCACATACATTTTTTTATGAAAATTACATGCCTCAAGATTCATTTTTTGTAAATAGACCTCCTGTAATATATAGAATACAATAGGCTACATTAGCGTGGCTCAAAACACATTATAGATTTAATATAAATTACTATAGTATTTTTCATTAAGTGAGATCACAAAGTGATACAATGGTGAACTGTCACTTTAATACTCATAACTAAAGCACGTTCTCCCCTTCCCTCCAGACGCCGCATGTAAAGCGTTGACAGAGAAAGTTTTGTTGGTGTGCCATTATTCGGGAACACACCCAGCGGCCGAGACACACCCAGACCGGGCGGCACAACACAACACAACTGCTGGAGAGAGAGAGAGAGAGAGAGGTCAGAAGTGACCTTATTTGGTAATCAGTCTCTCTCTTTCTCTCCCTCAGCCTGCTTCTCTACATCTGGCATCACTCACGTCGAGACCTTTGACTTTGCATTAGAAATTCCTCAAGCCTTTCACTGGTAAGCTCGACGGTCTCCCTTGAGGGCAGTTTTTAACGGCTTTACACTTTTTGAAAATTCAAAATGTTGTTCGTTATTCCTTTTAGTTTCCATGGCGACACACACGCTTTAGTTAGAATCAGTGGCCAATTCGAATATTTGAAAATCTGACAGTTATTTGGCAGTTACATTCTGAACTCAATGTGCAGCACAGAATGACAGAAATATAAATCCTACAAGTGGGGGACTACCCAACACCATACTGCTCAAAGAGCTACAACTGCCCAATCAGCAGAGAGAACAGCGGTGGATTGATTTTTCCGGCACATGGGTGATGCAGAGAGAGAGAGAGAGACTGCGCGAGTGCACAAACATTCCTGACCCGCTGATATAACCCTCCCGGCGGCCCGGGTCTCTCCTGGATCCTCATTCCGCATTCCTCGCATTCTTCAGCCTCCGTGCGCGATCATTCATGCGCGCCGCGTTTGATTTCACACGTGCTTATTATGTATGGGGCTTTCTATTATAAGGAATCTTCGCTTTAGTTCCACTTTCATTTAAAGGACTTCAGAAAATAGTCCAGAAATCCTTATCGCTGCTCAAATTGCTGAATTAAAATAAGCTGGAAACAACACAATTCCTGAGATCCTCATAGTGTTATGTTCAATTCACTTAAACTTGTTAACTTTCGATTTGTGTTGGCACAGCATGAATGAATTATGTGGAACCCTTCGTTTTAACAGATTTTATGCATTAATAAAAGTGGAAATAACACAGGCAAACATGCCGACACATAATCAACATATTAATATATAAGTTGTGGTAAATAGAAGGATAATGCTATATATTGTTTTTAAACCATAACTAGGCAAATTGTATTATAATGCATATACTGTATGTTAGTATTTAACGCTTTGTTAATGAATCGAATGCAACAACATAAGCCACTAGTGTTAACTAATGAACTAATCAACTGTAATAAATAAATAATAAATACTGTACTTACTAAATAAACTATAATGATAATTATTGTAATTAAAAATATTGATATAAATAGTATTAATTTATTATATAAAAATAATTTATTAAATTTAATAAACTGTACTTTAGTAAACTGTGGTAATAAATTTGTATAAAATGTAGTATATACATTCATTCATTTATTTTTTGGCTTAGTTCCTTTAAAATCCGGGGTTGCCACAGCGGAATGAACCGCAAACTTATCCAGCACATGTTTTACTCAGCGGATGCCCTTCCAGCTGCAACCCAACACTGTGAAACATTCATACTCTCTCATTCACATACACTACGGACAATTTATCTTACCTAATTCACCTGTACCACATGTGTTTGAACTGTGGGGGAAACTAGAACATACAAACTCCACTCAAAAACGGCAACTGACCCAGCCGAGGCTCGAACCAGCAACCTTCTTGCTGTGAGGCGACAGCACTACCTACTGCGCCACTGTGTCGCCTAAATAAAATAGTAATAAAATAAAAATAATAAAATATAAAATAAACTTATGATAATAAAAAATAAAATACATTAATAATAACAAAATAAAATAATTAAAAATAAAATATTAAAATAAAATAAAAATAAAGTAATATAAAAATATGTTTTCAGTTATATAATATATTAATATAATATAAAATAATAGCGTTTTCAGTTCAAAATATAAACAAAATTATGTTTTACTGAAACTAAAGAGTTTCAGGAACAAGAATATAATGCTAAAAATAAAATAATAATAATAATAAAATAAAAATTATAAAATAAAATAAAAATCAAATACAAAATAATAAAATATAAAATAAATTATTTTAATTTACATTATGTATGTCGCCTAGTATACATAGTATTATGTAATTTGTTTATATTGCTAGTTGCTGTATTAGAAGACGTACACAGCAGATTAATTAAAGTACCCTACTATAGTTCAAAAACACTACTATACATAATTATAGATTTTTAAAGGATAAAGATTTCAATAAACATTTATTTTTATGTGTGCTGAGATGTGTTATTCGTTCAGATTTGCCTGATTTTAGTTTGATTTTTCATGCGTTGAATTGACTAAGTGTCAATGTGTTTCTGAAGTTCATAGCTAGCTGAGAAAGCAGCAATATCATCAATCAGTCCTTTAAAATCAATGGTTTAATACACATGCCTGTTATTATTCAAAAGCTGCATCAAGCATTGTATGATTTTCAGTCAAATGATATGCAAATCAATGAGATAGACGCACAGATAGAGATTGATATTATCTGTGACGGGACAATATTGAAATATCGTGTAATAATAGTAGGCTAAAATAAACTATCCGTACATAAATATTGAAATGATCCAATAAACTCTGTAAATTGTGAAATGCCTGTCAACACTGACACCCATTATGTATTTATTTATTTAAAAGAAGGAGAGAAAGTTCCTGATTCCAGACATTCCTCCATTCCTGCGCGTGTGTGTGTGCGTGTAAACACGGTCCGGCGACTTATATGGTCACAAAAGCCCAAAGTCGCGCACATACCTCAGACATTAAGCACACATACGGGGCCCTGCGGCCCAACTATTTCAAGTTCACCCTGTGACGCGGACTTTTACCCGCTCTGGCACGCCCACACGCCGCCTGTCATTGGCCGAAGCCTTCGGGAATGCAGAGCGAGCGGACTGTGATTGGCGGAGATTCAGGAAAGGGGCGGTTACGTGCCGCAGACTCCGCCCCACCGGGACCGCACCCCGAACCATTACAGCAGGACGGAGTTCAACTACGAGTGGAAGAGGGAGGGAAGAGAAAGAAAGGAAGAAAAAAAGAGAGCCGAGTGAAGAGAGCCAACTTGTGCGCAGCTTCAGTGGATTGAAAAGGGAAGTCTGGAGCACGCGACACGGATCCACACTGAGCCTCTGGAGTTTCTGACAACCATCCCCCGAACTCCGAGCGTCTGCATCTGATTAGCAGGTAAAGCACCGGGTGGACGGTTCCGTTTCCTCCGCAGATCCATTCAGTCGCCGCGCGGAGAAACAGGAAGCGCAGCTAGTGTGAGCAGCGACCTGGAGTGACGCGGCCTGGTTTTGCTGCACTTGCAAACTTGTTGTGGTGAAATCGTTACGGTTGATCGATATTTCTTGCGAAGATAACCTGTGACGCGTCCGATCGGCACGGACAGCCGCGCGGTGAGTTTCAGGAAGTGCTCGAGCGCAGAAACACCGGCTCGCGCGGGCCTCAACGGGCACGCGGAAACCCGTTAATTTTCACAGAAAATGCTGTTTGCGCGAAAGTAGGGTGCAGTGCGACTGCAAACGGAGCATGATGTCATTGAGCGCTAGCGAGTGACGTTTCACGGGCGCTCATTACGTCATCGCTCGCGTTAAAACTGGGCCAAGCGGCGCGTTTTCAGTTATCCGCCCGATTTTAAGGACGAATCTGTATTAGCGGTTTGTTAACACAGCAGGAAAGTAAACTTGGACGCAAATAAACGTAGTTTCTGACTCTTCTAGAGAGTTCTAGTTAGTTACAGACAGATGGAAATAGGTTACGCGCGCTCCCAAAGTTCGATGAGGGTGTGATCGCGCTGCGTGCTCCCGCAGACATTGGTGCGCGCTTTCTTCAACCGGACAAATTTCATTTGTGTGCAAGAAACTTGGTTAATATTTGAAAGGAAGAGTGCACACGGTCATTCGCGGGGGCGCGCTGCGCGAGCTCGTCCTTCTGGTGTGTGGCCTTGTTGCATTTCTGTGTATTTTGATATACGTGTTGTTGGCTGCTTTCTGAATATGTGTCCAGCAATTAGCATATTTCATTTCAGAAACCCTCTAATGCTTTATTGGTTCTTGATTGTTATGAACAGGATGTTGATGAATCTCTGAAGTGAGTGATTGGCAGCTACTTTAGCTTTATGCTCAGATTTAGTTGTGATTTTGTCGGGTGTGTCTTATAACCACACAAATCTGTGTGTAATCCATGTGAGCTCTCAGATTCATGCTGATGTGAGTGTGTACTGCATTTATCTTTGTCATCATTCTGTTTGCTGCTAGTAATAGTGTTATAAGTGTGTGTGTGTGTGTGTGTGTGTGTGTGTGTGTGTTATTCAGTGCCATAGAGCAAATAATATTATTGAAATGAACACCAGTTTCACTTTCTTAGAAGACGTCTGCAGTACACACCTGACCTGTGTGTGTGTGTGTGTGTGTGTGTGTGTGTGTGTGTGTGTGACCTGGTTTTCTTTGAGCGAGTATGTCTAGGACGTTGTGACCCAGTAAAAGCACATGCTGGTCTCATTCTGGATTTTGTTGTAGCTTCTCTTCATTGGTTAAGGAAACGCATAAGACTCCCTCAATCCCTGCGGCATTTATACTGCGCACAGAGCTGCTGCGTCCAAGTCCTGTCCAAAAAATCATATTTACGAGTCGAACTCAACCACAACATCGTAATTGTGGGGAACAGTTTTTCGAGGCCTAAAGCTTCTGAGTTCAATACAGACTCAGTGGATATATTTATTTGGTCAACAGTTGACTGTAATTTAGTTGCAGCTTTTAAAATTGCTTTTTAGTGCACAATAAAAGTTGCATATGATGTAGTGGAAGATGTAGTAATTCAATGTATACATGCAGAGATTAAATAAATGCTTAAAAGAGCAAATGCACTATGCTATATCCATCATTATATAGAGATTGCTTAAATAAGTGTAAAATGGTACTTTGCCAGCTTGCTCTTGGTTTGAGTGATTTGAACAAATCTGACAGGGTAATTATGCCTTGTCAACTCCTAATGATGAACAAGAGGACTTTAGCTAATGTGTTTGTGTGCGTGGAATTTGTACAGCTATTGTTTTCCAAGTCGTGCATTAAAAGGTGTGAGCATGACCACTCTTTTATAACTTAGTATGGTCCATTATTTGTCTGATATCAAATTAAACATGAACATGAAGTCAGCACCTATAGCCTAGTGCACTGATCATCAACTCTCAGTAATGATTAAGGGTGCTTTCACACCTACACTTTTGTTTCGGAACGTATCTCGTTTGCCCAGTTAGCGCGGTTCGATTGGCATATGTGAACAGGGCAATCGCGCTCTGTCCCGCGCCAAAGTAATCGCTCCGAGATCGCTTGAATGAGGTGGTCTCGGCTCGATTGAAACGAACCCTGGAGCGGTTCGATTGCAGTGAGAAAGCGATCTGATCCGAGCGCGGTTATATCACAGTGTTTTATGGATATGTAATAGGCTTACGGCTATATGAAGAGAGAATTATGAGTAAGGCGGGAAGTTTCGTGAGTCTCCGGATGCCCGCAAACGAGTGATGATCTCCCGGTAATCTCGTGTCTCTCTCCCAGTCCTCAAATAGGCATCATCGCGCACCCTTCTCACCCCTCCCCACCGCGTCTATCCTCAGACACGTCACGCGCGCGCACCCTGTCAATCACCACCAAACCACCACCTCTCCTGACAGCTGAGCGGGACGCTGCAAAATAAACCCTGACACTCTGACCAATGTAAGGAGAGTTTACTCGCACGTGACTTGTTTTAGCTCTTTTGGTCCGATTAGAAACTTTGCAGTGTGAAAGCGAACCGCACCAAGAGCAAAGAGCAACAATGTAACAATTCTAATCTCTGTTTCGGAACAACTGAATCGATTCACAGGTGTGAAAGCACCCTAAATCACACTGAACTGAGCTAAACTGAACTGAACTGAACTTAAACACTAAAACCTGAACCACACTGTTCCAGTTACTATGACCATTTATGTGAAGCTGCTTTGACACAATCTACATTGTAAAAGCGCTATACAAATAAAGCTGAATTGAATTGAATCAACTGGCGGCCCGCTGAGCATTCAATCCGGCCCGCGACTGGATTCCAAAATTGTGAGGATCAAAAAGGAAATTGTGGTCCACACTATTAAAGCAACTAAAAATAACAACAACTGAGTCTCTTGTCAGAATAACTACCATTTGCCTATATTAAGGCTACACTCCGAAATGAGGATAGACTATGCGGCGTTAAGCATTTATTGTTTCAAACAGGTTTAAAAAAAAAAAGGGATAATTTTCCTCATGCCCTTACTTAACATTTGTTTTTTATTTCTAAGTCTCAACAACATGCTTGAAATTAGCAGACTCCTCAGTACAGGGGTCTGTTCTTCGTACCTCGCTTAAATGATCTAAGATGATTTGGCAGATCCTGGATCTTTTCATCTTGATAACTGATCTCTCGCTAATTTGGTTCTTCAAACGAGTTCGCGAATCAGATTAGAATGTCTGGATAAACTGATCTGAGATCGCTGCGTGTGTTGTGAAGGACAGATCTATCCATCCTAGAAATCATGATCAGCAATGCAACGATTGGCTGACGGCACAGCAGCGTAATGACATCATCTGATTAATATTCAATTATCCATGTGAGCAAAATTACATCAAATTAGCAGTAAGCGGTTTGTTAAATATGACACGCAATAACTTCACATTTGTTGTGAGCTGCAGGCTTTACACTTTCATTTGTCAAGACAAGAGTATTCATCATGTATTTCAATGCAAATCCGTGTATTTAGTTCTTAATTTAGAAAATATTTTCTTTATAATAGTAGCCGTTTTTTAATCGGTGTAAAGAATAACTGGTTGTTTCCAAAAGCATTTTGATATTGGTAAAGGCGTCTGCAACTTTTGTGAAGCATCACTGGCATATTAACTGTCAAAACATGTTTATGACTGCATAAATGTATTATTGCTTTTAAAAAAAAGTCACATATTCCGCATTTCTATTATACACAATTTGTACTAAAGCGATCTAAAAAGTTCATATCAATAAGTTTTCTCTTTGCACCACCAGGTGGCAGTCTTTGTACTTTTATTTCGAGGGTGCAGATTGCATAAGTTTTATTAATATGTATAACTTTATTTATTTTATTAATGACTATAACTTTTATATATATATAGTTAAAAAATATTTACTATTTTCCCAAGTGTATATAACTTTTACTGTAAGAAAATATCAGAACTCGGAACATACTTTCTGTATTATTTTTGCTTGAACTGAGCCGATCTAATCCTGTTTATATGAATTGAACCTGCTCCCGATCAGGTTTGACCTAGCAGATCTGTTGCCATGACAACAACTCTCGGATCAGCTTTGAAGAACGAAACGATCCTGGATCATGTCAAATCGTCAATATCCAAATCCAGCTAACTGAGTAATCCACGTACGAAGAACGGACCCCAGGACAAGACGACTTAAAACAGCATGGTAAATAAATAACCTGGTACCAGAACGAAACAGGTCACAAATAAAGTTCGCACATCAAATGAAACTCAAATCACAATGCTGAAACGGGCTACTCGCAGTGCTTAATCAATGGCTCAAGTTACATTTCCCCTCTCACACCAACTTTTTCACATCAGGCTTGGCCGCTGTCAGACTTTTCAATGTGTCATAGGTCTCGGGACAAGATACCCAAAATGCGCTCAGGCTTTTAGCACCGTAGAGCCGCCTTCACATCGCCTGCGGCCTAAATTTCAGCCAGCTAGCTCTGAATGGCCGCCTCGGCAAATGGCAGCATTTTCACCACTTTTGTGGAGAATTTTCTATCACTCCTAGTGGTTGACTGTGGTATAAGCCTGAATCAAAAGCCTTCAATTTGTAATGAAATGGAAAAGGTATGACCATTAAACACAATTTTAAGCCAAAATTAGATTTTTATTTGATTTTCTTCTTGGCAGTCCGGCCCCCAAGGAGACTGTCTGGTAAAACTCTGGCCTTCTGACAAATATAGTTGATGTCCCCTGGCCTAGTGGTTAAGTGCACCAACATAAAACACCAAGGTGCTCACGGCGACCGTAAACTTTGAATTGAAGTTTTTAATGAATTGTTGTTAGCACGGGGTGTCACAGTGGCACAGTGGTTAGCATGATCACCTCACAGCAAGAATGTCGCTGGTTTGAGCCTCGGCTGGGTCAGTTGGCATTTCT